ATAAAAAGCCATTTATTTTATTCCAAAGCAAGTAGCACCCTCAAATTCATGAAAAATTGCATTTACTGCTTATAATAATTGTAAATGTAGGTCACAACCTTACTCTTTTAATTGCTACAAGATATGTTCATTCATTCTGAGGCTTCATTTGTAAAATATAACTTGTGACACTTTAAAAATAATTCATTCACTTAGGTAATATTTAGCCTTAATATATGTGGGAATGTTATAATTTTGATCCCATTTCGAGACATTGTCAGTCCTTGTTTAACACTAATTTACGAATTAGCTAACATGCTACAACAGATCAGCATTTGCGATAAATTAATTTAGAATATTTGTAAAAGTTGTTACAACACTATCTGTGTTCAATACCCATACAAGTGGAAAAATATCTAATCACATGGCCAGGCTCGGCCAGGAAGGCAATATTTACACTAAGCTAAAGTAGGCATGCCCATTTTGTCATACTTTTTCGTAGTTGGTCGGCAAATTCCATAGCAAATGGAAAAGTAGTATAATCCCATTCCAGCCAGGATCAGGGCCACAACTAAGAATACTATACCCCATGCGGATATGCCCAAGCCTCTTCGGGAACGGGGTTGTGTAGGAAGACCAGAGGAGGAACCATCTAATGTCTTAGGGTATCCTGCATCATTTTTATAATTGTAGCCTCTTTCATAGGTGCCATAGTTTGTCTCCCTGTTCCGATATGCGTCCGCGGGAGTCAACAATGCATTGAAAACTGTAACAAAGTAATAATCATAAGCAAGAATTAATTATATAATGCGAGAGCAGGGCACACAGATTAACAAAAGAAAAAACCAGGGATAAATATCAAGGACCAAACTTTAAAATGAATGATAATATGGCCCATATTATCAATTCATTTCTACTTATACCGAATTGTGGCTGACGAGATGGATAGTGATAGAATAATAGTAGGATCTTTATATCACAAGTACAACTCATACAATCTTCAGATAATTTGATATTTATAACTGAAATAAGTAACAATTTTACACTTACCGAGTAGTGCAAGGCTTGCACGAACAAATAGACTTATCATCTTTGATATCTCGGACTTCCTGTGACAAGTGCCCCACAAATTACAACTCAGGCTCCCTGATTCGCCTTGTAAAATAAATCAAAGTTTGCTACCTATCCAATCGTCGAAGTTCCGCCGTTAATGCACTTCACTTTACAATTAATCGACGTGAAAGTGACTTATTTTTACAGATTGAGTTCGTGTTACTAAACAGAATATTTTAAATTCTTTTCGGTCTATTTACTAGCGCCTAACATCATTCTTCAAAGCGAAGAAAAGAAAGTTAAAAAATAAACGAAACGACAAAATCGTATTTGTATCACCGTCGCGATTGGATGAATGAAATTGAATGAATGCAATGCACAAAGCACACAGAAGCACATGAACAATGAATGGAAATGCATTGAATGTACGAAATTATCAGAAGAATGAATGACACAGGCGCGAAACAGTAGAGATGTCTATATTACGACTGACTTATTCGACTAATAAACAGATATTATACCATAGATAGATGTTACCATAATTTTAAGAGTTTCCGGTAAAATCTGATGGCGTGTACTTCCGATTATTGCGTTGTCAAATGTCAAAAATAAAGATGTTGCCGGCGATGGCGAAATTACGAGTTTCTTTTGTATTTCTTCTTTATGTCTTTATAAAATGTGAAAGTGCTAATGTCGACTCCATATCTAGTGACCTAAGATTGAAAAATGTCGACCGGCTAATAGATATATCGTCGCAACTCGTAAAAATTACATCGAAAATAACCTTGGAGAACACTGGTGCTTCGCCGGTAAAGAATTTCCTGATAGCCGTTGAAGAATCTGCAAAGAACAATGTTGCATTTGTTGGTGCCAAGGATAGCAACAACAAAGATTTGCGCCTTGTCGAGACTACTGTAAAGGGTTATGATTATGTCAGGTTCTGGCGTGTGGAACTCAAAGATGCTATCAACTCAGGCGCAACACCGTTAGTCACAGTAGAAACAGTGTTCACAAAGGCTCTCTTGCCGTACCCTATAGCAATTACTCAACAAGAAGACCAACTAGTCAAATACATCGGCAACTTGTACACGTACTCGCCGTATTACATTACCTCTATGAAAACAAGTGTTCTTTTAAACACAAAGAGCGTTGAAACGTTCACAAAGGTCAAGCCATTCTCTCAACAAGATGGTATGATTCAGTATGGCCCCTACCCCAACTTGAAACCTTTCAGCGAGAAGGAATTGCTCATCCACTACAAGAACAATGCTCCTTTCCTTACTGTCACACGTGTCGAGAGGTTGATTGAGGTGTCCCACTGGGGCAATATAGCCGTGGAAGAGGTGATTGAGATTGAACACACTGGTGCTAAATTGAAGGGCCCATTCTCCCGTTATGACTACCAACAGGACCACCACAGTGGGCCCGCTAGTGTTAGGTCTTACAAGACTCTACTGCCTGCATCTGCCTCTGATGTATATTATAGAGACACTAATGGCAACATCTCTACTTCCAACATGAAGGTGAAGAAGGACTCAGTGGAGCTGGACTTGAGACCTAGATACCCTCTTTTTGGAGGATGGAGAACTCATTACACACTTGGCTACAATGTTCCCAGTTATGAGTACTTGTACCAATCTGGTAATGATTACCTTTTGAAGATGAGGATCATTGATCACATCTTTGATGACATGCAAGTTGATGAGGTGGTCACCAAGATTATCTTGCCTGAAGGCTCGACAAGTGTGAAAGTAAATCTGCCATACTCTGTTACAAGACTGCCTGACAGCCTGCACTTCACCTACCTGGACACTAAGGGTCGTCCTGTAATCTCGTTCAGTAAGAAGAATGTTGTGGAAAACCACATTCAAGATTTCCAATTACGCTACACATTCCCACGTCTCCTAATGTTGCAGGAGCCTCTACTTGTTGTAGGATTCCTCTATGCCTTATTCCTTTGTGTAATTATCTATGTAAGATTAGATTTCTCTATTCATAAGTCTGAACATCCTCATAAAGAATAAATTTATCATAAAATAGCACTTAATATATTTAATTTCTATTGTTTAAATGAAACACATCTAGTTCTTGTGCAATGTTATGTGCTGATTACAAATAATTTTTAATTACATTTGTGGTTTTATTGAAATTGAAAAACCTTCAAACATTTTTATATTTGGAATATATCATGGTCTGTTATTGGCTGTAATTATTTTCAATAAAAGGTTGAGATAAAAACATAAGTTCAAATATTTTATTTTCCAGTGCCAAAACATTGTTATAATAATTTGAGCCTGTTTTTCATCCCCATGATAAATTACGCACCTCGGCTACAAAGATTACTACTTATTTACAGATACTTTGACAAAAATAAAAAAATGGGCTCCCAATTTTAACTCAATTCTCACAAGAATCCTACAAAAATAAATTTATATTTCTTATAGGTACCAAAAAGACAAAATAAATAAATATTAATTTAATTGTGTCACACAAGATCACCTTATACACAAAAGGGTAAAGGTAAAAAATCTAAAACACACATCTTTTACATATAGCTAAGTATAAATATTTATTATGTTTGCAAGAAATGGTATGTGTATTTTACACGTACCAAATGGCGCCGTGAGTTCACGAGGTGTTTCTTATAAAATCCAGTTAAAACCATAACTGGAAAAATGTCGAGTACTTATTGTTCATTGACTGCCATCCATAACCAATAACATGCGTGTCATGTATCCAAAACCGTAACACAATGCATGAAATATCTGACCAAGCCGGCCTGTAGCTAAACAGTAACATTTCACGCTTATTATCAAGCAATTCTAGGAGTTGCGGTGGATTATTGTTGGTCCGTAAGGAGAATATAGAGCGGGCAACGTTTTATACAGAATATGGACATTATCGTTTCATCAAGACGAAAATGATAGATTTTTTTTTAGTTTGATTTATTATATTGTATTTTGTTTGTAGACCCATAAATGTAACCAAGTATCAAGTAAAATTTTCATGAATCGAGGTCTGATATGATTCGAATAACTAAGTAGTTCACACAAACATACCAATTGAATGAAACATCACTCATAAAAACTGTTGAACGAAGATGTAGGTAAGTAATTTAGCATTACCTAGCATTAGTTGAAAAAAAAGCAATAAGAGAATACAAATGAATAGTAAAAATATAGTTTTATTCAAGTAGAATCACATTATAACATTATGATGTCAAAATAGAAATGAATAAACCGAATAGATTTAGGATCTAACAAATATCAAATTTCACGTAATCACGAGTTTTAGTATCATATTAATTACTTTATAGATTGGTACGTAAAATACTTACTCTTTATCAGACTGTTCTACCTTTAAGTAGGTATGTTGTAAACTAATCAATAATCAACTGTATTGCAATTTTCTTTTTTTCGGTAGTACTTAAACTTCATAATTGAAGTATTTTAACTAAAATAATATCTTTTGCTACAAGTCGTACAGAAGCCAAAAGGTCAACTAACTTCAATCTGTATTTTTTTTCAAATTGTTTCGGGCAGAATCGGATTACGCTTAAAGTTATCTCTTTTGGTTCTTTAAATAATTACCTTCTTGTAACGATTGCCAAGTGGTGAAATGGTAGAATACCTTTATCACTACATAGTATAAAGTCGCTTTCTCTGTCCCTATATAGGAACATAGGGCTGTACGCTTTAATTTAAAAAACTACGCAACGGGTATTTGGATTCAGTTTTTTAATGGATAGAGTGATTGAAGGAAAAGTTTTACATGTATAATAACATCCATTAAATAGTCAAGACATTTATTAGCAATGCACTCTGGAGGAGGATTGTTTTGTCTAAATATATACCACTACCCTTTGGTACTCTTTTCGCGGGCGCCATTACTAAGTTTACTGCATGAGTTCATAACGTCGTTACTTACATGGTTTTTTTTACATGATTTTCGTATTTAAACCATTACCATAAGGTCTGTAATCTATTGAACAGATTAAATTAACTCGACCATCAAGGTCTGTACATAAAATAAAGTATATTTCTTTATATTTTATTTATTTATTTACACTCCATATTCTGACAATTTGAATCTTAGTACGACGGGCGCACTAGTGCATGGTAGGATGGCGAGTTCCGTGACTACGGCGGTGACGAGGCTTGGTGGTGTGACGTCATAGGTGAGGTTTAGTGGCGTCAGGTTGGGGTTCGACCGCCAATCCTTCAGTGGGGAGTTGTCGTCCGATTTGTCGATTAAGTCGTCCGGATCACCTGTTCGAAAAATAATAATGAAAACAACTGCACACTTACGTAAAAGCTCAAAAGTTTACTAGTATAAGTTACTTGGTAATTAATAAAAAATTACGATGTTTATTTTTTTATTTTTTGAGATGCATTTGTTATTTTATACCACTACATAGTATAAAACAAAGTCGCTTTATCAGCCCCTATATCTCTATTTAAAGTGATATTTTGGTGACGTTTAAAATGATTGTACAGGAAGATTTATACGTATATTAACATCCATTATTCATTTAGTGTTACATCAATAACATCCATTCGTGGAGAAATTTAGTATGTATTAGTATTGCACCCGTGTGAATTTAGGATAGCCAGGCCTAGTGAGAAATGAAAATAACTGGTTTAAATAGGGCATTACATTTTAAATAAACACATAAAATAAATATAAAATTATGATTAATTTGAACTAATTTATAGGAGACAAATGAGCTGTCATTCCACCTAATTTAGAAGTCTTTCAAATATTTAAATATTTTTAATTCTTATTTAATAACCTTATTTATATCTACATTATATTCATATTCACGAATGGGTCGGCTCGACCGGAGTGATACCACGGCCGCACAGAATACCGGCGTGAAACAACCCGGAGGCCCAATCCCTCCCCTTCCCCTATCCCTTCCCAATCCTTTTATCCGCAACCCCTATCCCCAAAAGGCCGGCAACGCACTCGTAACTCCTTTGGTGTTGCGGGTGTCCATGGGCGGCACCGATTGCTTACCATCAGGTAATCTGTCTGCTCGTTTGCCGACTTATACCATAAAAAAAACATACCAATCTCATTGTAAACGAAGGCATCAGTCTGTACTCGCTCGGAGAACTTATGCGTCTCGCAGGCGACGAGTACGGGCACGTTACGAGCCCACGCCCCCAGCGCCACCTGCGCGGTCCCCGCCGCGCCCAGCACTGACCCATTCACTAGGAGGGCACTCGCGCCTAGTACCACTTTGTTCACCTAGATAAAAAGAAAGACATAGACCTTGTCAGTTTATATATGAAAAAATTATGTACGTAAGGAAAAATTTGCAATTATTTGAAAAAAGAAGCGATAGACATAATTTTAATACAAGAGGCAAAGATAGGCTGGCTGTGCCACGATTCCGTCTGTCCAAAGTACAGAAATCCTTTATGGGGTTCTGTGTAAATTGTTACAATAAAATTCCAAGAAGTGTATTGAATCTTAACGAACAAAAATTTAAAACTTATATTAAACGCGAATTATGTAGACAGGCATACTACAAACTTTCAGATTATATTGAGGACAAGAATGCCTGGCAGCATGTTGGTTCGGCTCCACTGGACAATACTCAAATATGTAGTCAGTAGTTATTAAAATTCTCAAAATTAATGAAACCTTGAATGAGTTTATATAGAAGCATTCTTTTGGATTGTGAGTACGCGTATGTGAGCGCCATGTACGAGACAACAAAGAATTAAAATTTTAATGATAGATTAGATAGACCATCATTTGTTCCTTTTTAATAACAACTTGTCTCTGCATTGTTCTCACATAGGGGTACGGTAATGTATTATTGGTGAATTGTAAAACAAATATTTTTTTTAAAAGAGTAACGATGGAGTTTCTTGCTCGTTCTTCTCCATTCGAAACTACAATTTGGATCGAGCTCCTAGCTTCACTGACGAACAGACTGACAGACTACTATTCTATTTTGACGTTTCAAAAGTATCTATTTATGGTTTAGTTGGAATAAATGAATTTGATTTGATTTGATAGCATTCATTATTGTAAATGATGGCCAAAGCATTTATTAAAACTGAATTTTGAATGTGAAATGGGACAAGGCCGCCACATCCCCCAATACCGCTTAGCTAACATCGATTAAGGTTTAAATACCTGATTGTTAACATTTTTACATACAAATTTTAGACAACTTTTAGATAGATAAAATATATTTTTTTGAGTGTTGTGACTTGAAACTAGTAGAGCTTTTCTCAGTGATTTCACATGATTAAGTTGTTATTTTCAATAATTTTAGTATGCGATAGTAACTATTAAACCGTAAACCGTTAGACCACGGTGTTAAACAGCTATGCTATTCTAAAAAGTTGATTTGCGAAATCACTTCTGAATTCTCAAATGGAGTGAAATCTACATTGGCGCCACCATGTGTATAACTGAGTGAAAGGAACTAAAACAAGTAAGTATTTTGACGTTTGTGTACAGGCGAGATGAGAAGCGAAGTGGTGTGTGACTTTTGAGATGAGATTTACCATTTACAGTACAGCACTGCTGGTTCATATATTTACCTTATCCATAACAGAAGATAGAGAAGTAATATCAATGTAGGTGCAAGGCAGTCCATGAGTGACGAGTCGCCGCAACATTTGCGTGGCGGAGGTCTGGACGCGGTTGCCCACTATAACGGTCCTGAACTTTTTGCCAGCGGACCAAGCGTCCCGAAGAATGCGCTCGATTAGAGATGAACTGTAAAAAATAAAATAGAAACAATGAATTATTTTTTGTAAATTGGTCATAAAATGGCACTTTTACAAGTCAACATTAAATGTAAAAAACTAGATGAAGCCGGCACTTCCTATCTGACTAGGTACTTTTAGAAGAAATACCGAAACAAACTCAGAGGTCCGTCTATTTTCAACTCCAGACAGACAATGTAAAAAATCCGTGCAACTCCCGACTGAACATCAACTCCTAAAGAGCCCCGTATGTGGAGTGCCAGACTCTTGATGACTAAAACCTCCCGTTCCTTCTCCTGCCCTAGCACGAGGCCGCGGTCCCATATTGCGTTACAGTACTAACCAAGCGCGATGTTGCTTAACTTTGGTGATGGAAGTTGGCATGACAAAGAGAAATTGGGATTCATTTTTATTATTAAAAAGTAATAATTAAAAAAAAACGTGGCGTTGGGGGACCGATCCAAACATTTTATTATCAACTACAAAAGTCTAAAGTCTTTATTTTGTCCGGGGTCTAATTTTTTATTTTATTTTATACTTTTTATAGGTAGGTTATATCATCTTCTCTCGATTAAGTCATCAACATTCCCTTTTAGTGCGCTTTCATTTGAGACCCCACTCGAGTATTGCAGACCTTCGGTTACCCTTCCCCACTTACCCCAATCCCCCCCCCCCCCCCCCCATAACTTCTAAACGGCTCTACCGATTTTCGTCAAACATGTCTAAGAACACTCGCACGTAAGTCACCTTTAATACAAAAAAAAAACTAAATTGAAATCGCTTCACCCGTTCAGGCTCCAGGATGCCACAGACAGACAAGTCAAACTTATAACACCCCTCTCTTTTTGCTTCGGGGGTTAAAAATAAGATAGGTAACTTACCATCCATAAGTAAGTATGTTGTCTCCTTCAGATATTTTGTTGCGCACAGTTATACTGATCGCCTCGCCCGCCATATCTATTTGTTCCTTTATGTATCTGTCTATCTCTTCTTGCAACGTCTTCTTTGCCTGTGTAAAATAATAATAATAATCTAATAATGTCTATTAATCTATAGCCATCCTATAATTATAATAATTTTCTGTCATATTGTACAAAAGTCAGTGTCAGATCAGAGCTTCGGCACGAATGAATTTCGACCTGTATAATACCACGGCCTCACAGATAACCGGCGTGAAGCAACCACAGCGTTGTTTCGATATGTGATTGAGGTCACGTGAAACCCAATCTTTCCCCTCTCCCGTCAATCACAATATCTCCAAAATCCTATTCCTCAAAAGGCTGAAAACGCCCTTGTAACTCCTCTCATGTTGCAGGTGTTCATGGGCGGCGCTGATTACTTACCATGGCAAAATAAAACCTGCATCAACCTGGGGTTTTACAGGGGTGCACACAAGGATAGAAGCCGGCTGATGTGAAATTAATTTTCAAATGCAAAGACAAAATCTAGTTGTATTACCCAAAAGCAGACGCATAAATAGTTTAGATTTAGAATTTGAATTCTTTAGTACAAAACAAAACAATGTTCACGACTTTTAAGTATGTCATAGCACTGTTTTTTTAGTTGAATTTACAGATAAACATTATCAATTAGTTCAATAACAGATAAACTAACTTCACAAGTAGGAAATAAGGTTCAAAATTGCACAACTCACATCAAACTCATCGACGTTATTGGGTAATTGTGTGAGGTGGTATCTGAAGAATTTGATGGCATTGGTTTGGGAAGCTGAAGGCGAGCGCATGGCCCAAAGGAAGTCCAGACTGGTAGCTAGATGCGACTCCAGTCCTCGAGCGAATTCCGTCTTAGCTGGGAGCGTGTAATCACGTACCATCTGTAAAAGAACGTTTATTTATTTTTAGGCAGGGCCGGATTGACTTAGTCATGGGGCCCCTGGGCAATGTTCGGGCCCCTTTTTTGTGAATGCATTTAAATCATTTTGAGTTATTTTTGACAGAAGAATAGGGAAGGTATTTATTATGTTTGGAGTATTCTAAAAGGTTATAAAATTCTTGTAGCAAAAAAAGGTTTTTCTTCGTTGCTTGGAGGCTCCCGACACAAGGCGCCCCTAGTTGGTCACATATCTATTTTCGTTTTTAACACTAACAGCCAGTAGTAGATAGTAGTGAACTTTGGTTATTAGTTAATACGGCTCTGCTTTTTGTAGAATGATATTTAGTAGTGTGCTTAAAGACATATATGTGATGATATGACATATAGTAAGTAAAGATTTTGTTCTAAAAACGATTACAAAGGAATAATTGAGTGAGTCGCTAATAAGTAGTTGTTTTTGTAGTAGTTAACACTGTATGTTTTCTGATCTTAATAAAACAAAATAATTCATAGTTGTTTGTACATATCTTCTCGTATAGTGAAATACATCTGTGTATACATCCTACACTTGGTGTAACAATGACAGGAAATAAGCTACTAACTTATCTATTACAAGATAAATTGAATAGTATTTAATTTAGTATATTTATTAGAACGGTTGGAAAATATGTTTTGAATTGTAATTGTATAATATATAACTATATTGTATCGAGACACGAGTTTCATAACATTTAAAAGTGAGTTATAACACTCGGAAGATAGGCAGCGTATTTTTTTAATTATTTAAAATCAATACATTTTCACACCATTGCATTAAATGTCTTAACAGTTTTGTATTAAATGTAATGGTGTTTTAATACAATAACTACATAATAAGTGTAAACTAACTACACCAGTAGTTTATACTAAGTGGAATTCAGTATAAACTAGCCAAAAAACAACTGAAAATAACGACAATCTAACAATGCTAATTATTTTTAACGCAAAAATTTATGGTAAGCGCATAACTCAAAAATGCTGGACAGATTTTGTCAATTTTCAAAGAAGTAGATTGGGAAATTGGGTAAAAGAGATCCTTTCGTCGTCAGAGAGGTACTAAAATAACCGTGTGAATCAGGGGCAGACCTCTGGTTTATATAAAACTTGTAAAAAAATAGGCTTAACACGTTAAGATTGTAATGTACCTGTATTACCCTGTATTACCCCTAGACATGATGACATACCTTTTTAAGAGCATCGAGGAGTGCAACGCATCTAGCGTTTGAACCGCTGACAACCTTGGACGCCAACTGTACGCCCAACTTCACAATGGCTGGGTGCAAGCTGCAAATAGAACAACACTTTAAAAACATTACCTACATTAAGTATGCGAAACTATACTATTTATTATTTTAAATATCTTATTATATAAAATTATGTTCATTAGTCTCGCTAAATGTCGAAACGGCTAGATCGATTTGGGTCATTTTTATCATGAAATATTTCAAATAGTCTCTGTTTAAAAGATAAGAAAGAAGTATTCATTGACTATTAGACAGTACAAAGTTCGGGTCAGCTAGTTTATAAAATAAAAATCCATTTTAATGTCAGAAATAACCACAATTTAATATGGAATATTGTTATTTAGTCAAACAATAACAAATTTAATAAAACGCCAACGCTGCAAAGTCATGATGTAGCATAAATACCGCGCAACAATCGTTCAAGGTTTCATAACAATTGACCTAATAATAAAGTGCTTCTGTGAATGAATGATGGTCATTTTGTAGACAACTACCATGTTTACAAGTGGGCAATAGTTATCAAATAACAACTCTTTAGATATTTTTCTCCAATTATTCATTTGTTATATACCTATTAGAAATTAGAAAAATAAAATAGAAATTGTAACTTACTTGGAGTTGATTGCAATAGACTTGAGTGCCTCTTTGTCATGTTCTTTATACAAATGTTGGAACCAATTGACTCTGTTACCGCTCTTCACTTTAGACTTCTCTAAAGTTTTCTGTTTTTGTGCTTTCTCCTGAAATAAGTAATGATTATATATTTTTTGTTATTTAAACCTTATTATTTGATAGTATACTTAGCATATAGTATAATTAGCATAACTAAGCCTTTTAAGCATGTACCCGACTTTAGTAAGTCACAAAATAACACTATATTCAAAACTTTTTTAAAGTTGAAAATCATCAAATTTCTTCTCTCGCCCAAGGTCAGATAACAGGAAGAGAAGACATCCCCATTCCTTCTTCTGCTCTAGGCCGAGACCATGGTACCTTATTGCGTTTATACAGTTATAAAACTTTGCTACAACATACCTCTTTAACCTTAGCAGCATCTCCTTCAGCAGACTTGGGTTCTACCTTAGGTTTGGCAGCAGCTGCAGCCTTCTCCTGCGCAGCTTGTTTAGCAGCTCTCTGAGCTTCCTGCTTTGCTCGTCTTTCAGCCTTTAATTCAGCCTTGCTTTTGTTACTTTCTTCAGCCTGAAGCAGAGAACGACTTTTATAATTATTCTTCTATATTATGATATATATAGAAGCAAGAGCAATTGGCGACAAAACAACATGAAAGAGCAAAGGATTGAAAACCTTGCAGGTTTCTAGAATAGGAAACATTTCAGACCTTCTTTCTAATGTTATAAAGTCCAATTAGGTAGATAAAAAACTTATATAATATCAAGAGACATGAATAGATGTCACAAATTCTTCATAGATACAAAGATGCACGCTGAATGGTGTAACACTGGCAACAGTTTGCATTCCCTAATAAAGAATGATTTTACAATAAATAGCCAGATTATTATCATTAAAAAGTATGTATAGCTTCATGAATTTGGTAGTTTCTATCAAATCTAATTCAATACTCTTATTCAAATATCAAAAATACTACTTACTTATAATTATGTATGAAATTGCAAGTATTATTATATTATCATAGTTCATTGTATTGAAAAGTCAAATAAATTTATTTTAACCTAAGGAACTACAATATAAACCAGTAATAGGAGTATAAGTAAGTACTATATTTATGTTACCAAATTATCCTATAACACTGGATCAAACAACATGCAATCACACATCACACAGCAAATTCTAAGAACAGTTCTTACCTTTTTACCACTTAGATCAATAGCACTAACTTTAACAGTTACATCTTTCATCTCCTTAGCTACATTGGCAATATCTCTGAGAGTTTCTACTACATCTTTTACAGTCATATCTTCATTGACAGGTTTACTAACCTCCTTTACAGCAGGTTTTTCGGGAACCTTCACTTCTCCTTCTCCTTCAGTTGCCCCTTTCTTCTTAGCTTGCTTAGCAGCCTTCTTTGCAGCTCTTTCTGCTTTAATATCCTCTTTACTTCTATTAGCACCTTCAATAACAGGGTCTACCTTAGCAACTCTGTCCACTTCATCCTTGCCTTTGGAAGTAGGTTCCTTAAGTTCTTTGACAGGCTTTTGTTCTTCTGTCACTTTTTGCTCAGTAGGTGGCGCTGGCTCTGCTTTTGGAGCAACAGGTTTTGGTGTGATTTGTTCTTTTGTTTCGTTTTGTACTGGTTCTTTCCCTTTGCCTTTTTGTTTGGCCTGCTTCTTTGCCTGCCTGGCAGCCATTACTTCTTCCCTAGATTTGTTGTCTGTTGATGACATTTTTATATTTTCTTCTACTTTGTTTTTTAATAAACTATCTTGCACATCTCCTAGGATATTGTGTTTCACTATTAAATTTTTATTGGAGTCTTTAGTTATTTCTGGATGGCTTATGTTGTCTATTTTATTTGAATTATTTGTAAAGTTATTCTGAGTCTGTGATAAGATTGATTTAAGTTTATGTCGCCTGTTTCTTCTTTTTGTACTTGCAGATAATTTCTGGTAACTTTCCTGTAATATTATATCAAAGTGTAAGAGAAACAAAGTATTGTAAATGCAATTTGAACGACTTAGCAGGGTCAAAACAGGGAAATATCAGAATGAAGAAAATAAATGAAATTTTATTTTTATACACAAACTAGGGATGTATCTGGAGGATTATAAGACTTGAAAACATACATCTGGGGATAGTGGTATCGGAACAAACAAAAAACACTTTTATACTTAATTGATAATCTATTTTTACTGTATGTAGGGTGTCAAACTTAACCTAAAAAATACACAACTACAAAAAGGAAATAACGTATACCTGAGCCATTGTCATAGCTGCTTATCCTTTGCAGGCTATAAAACATTTAGAATTATACAAACTGATGTAAAATAGTATTAAAATTTGAAAAATAATTACGTACACAATGTAGGACATTACAAAATACAATACTTACGTTTTTAACAGCTGTTACTGGAAAGCAGTTGCAGGCAAACAATAGTCATGTATATCACACTTTGAAATATAACAATAATCGTAATAATTATCTAATTAATCCAACATTTTCTTTTTTCAAACAATCTGATGAAATCGCAAGTGTAAAAATGTGACACTGACATTTGATTGACAATTACCTCGCGTTTATAAACAGTATTTTACGTTTATGATAAAAATTAAAACAAAAAATGAATATTTGGATTATTATTATATTTCAGTTGGTTAACACATTTAGACGACGCAAATACTTCTAACACTATCAATTAACGTTAGAACATTGATATAAATAAAATAAACTGTTAAAGACAAATTAAAATTAATTAATTTAAGAAAGTTAACGTACCGATCTTCGAAAATATTATTTGATTGTACACGTAGCAGTGAAAAAAATAATATTCTGACTAATACCAATGTACTTACACAAATATTATCAATACTGCTTGTTTATTTGTTCCTTTAAAAAGTATTCTATATAAGTAAAACAAAAATATTCCATCATAATTGTTTATTTCTTGATGAAACACAATTAAAAAATAATAATAACGCCTAATCTTTTATTGTTAATAAATGCTGTAGCAACAGCGAAATGTTGCTTTAAAAAATATACATAATACGAGTACAATACATTCAATCATTAATTTAACTAAATATATTTTTTATATATTTATTTTTGATAAATAAATTTTGCTGTATTACATTATATTATATTAACACAAATGAGTGATATCCAAATAAGTATGACATGTTAACTTAACTATAAAACATCATAGCTAAGGCGGTGGATTCAATGTAAATTATAAGTAGGTGATATACATAATATGTAATATAAAATTACTATTTACTTAAATATATTTCTGCACCATGGTTTGGAGTAGTAGCAAATACATACGATTTAGCCTGACTTTTATCGATATTACAATGTTTTACATAAAAGTTTTCTATTAAGTGATCAATATAACTACAGACTTTTTCTTTTGGGCACAGAGCAATGATACATCCACCCCACCCAGCACCAGTGAGACGCGAATGGACACTCATCTCTTTTGATATATTGACTAGATGATCTAAATTATCGTGAGAACATTCGTATAACTCCTTCAGACTACAGTGGCTACCAGACATAAGTTTTCCAAGTACATCAATTATTTCTTTGCCTTCTCCGTTTTCACAAGAGCCATTTCCATTCACACCATTGCCATTGACTTTAGTGCCGTTCGACATTGTTTGCGAGCAATGTTTACGAAATTCTTCCACACGTATGGCTTCTTCGTAAACGTGAAGAGCGCGCTGTTTTAATTTAAACTCAGACAGATGCTTCGTGTTTGGTGTTAAATAAACTTGCTCCAGTTCGTACTCATTAACATTTAAAATGTCGCATATTTCTTCCTTTGTATACAAGTCCTTAGGCAAATGCTTGTGTACAAGATTTACCATATCTTCTAAAGTGTTATCGAGCTTGTTTTGTACTTGGCTAAGTGTAATAATTTTGTTATCAGTAGCTGCACCTGCACACGTAGCTATAATTTTGGCCGCCAACCTACATTCAATCACCCGTCGGTTAAAATCGTTGGTGGCTGCTTTGTTAGCTTCTGCTAAACTGTGCGCCACAACAAATGCAGCATTCTCAGGTAGGGCCACGGGGGTAGCATTCAAGGGTTGCCACGTGATATATTGGGCGCAGTTTTTCTCAGCTAGAAATGCTATCGCTTGGTCCATACCACCTCCTTGAGTACCAATGTATCGCTCGCATTTTGCACATAAAGATGCAATCTCAGTTTTACTCAGGGGAACATTTTGAGCATACAGAAGGGCCAGACATGCTGCACTTACTAAAGCAGAGGAACTTGAAAGTCCAGATGCCGGAGGAACAATTCCATCAACACAAAGCTGTAGACCTGAGGTAACATCACGGTCCAAAAATTCCAAAGCACCTTTAACTCCGCACAGCACGTAATTATACCAAAACGGCTTGCCGTTTGGATCTGAAATAATATTTATATCTTCACACGATTTTATCTCTGCTTCATAATTGCTGTATTTATTATTAACATTTCGTACGTGAAGTTCTGGTTTATTTTGTATCGCAGCGGCTATCAGTATATCCTGTTCGAGTGCCATGGGCAACACTGGGTAGCCGCAATAATCAATGTGTTCGCCAATTAGATTCACGCGTCCCGGCACTCTGACAAAAAACAACGGTTCGTATCCGAATTCTTGGATGAAACGTTCCTTTAAACGGCTGATCCTTTCATTGTTTGGAATCCCCCTGATGGGTACTTTGTCGCTTGCACCGTTGGCACTCATATTTAGTTAGTATTGTTACGTGGACGTAAACAATCGTGACGCAAAAACACGAGCGGTCCGTGCCGCTGAAAACTTATGACTGGACAATGTTCTTATCAACATCTACATATATGTACTGTACATACCAATTCAATTCACTACACTTTGTGAACGTAAATAAAGATATTGTGTTTACTTTGTTTATCATTAGCTCACAGCACGACTACAAACGAATAGCAGCAGTCACTACGGATATAAACATAAAAAAATAAATCTTTACACATATATGTTCCTAGGTATTTTTGTGACGAATGATTAGGTCAGCAAAACTGTATAAGTCTCGTCCTTAAAAAAATATTATTGGAGAGCTATTTTTAAGTATTTAAGTATAACCTCTAAAAATGTATTTAACAATGCTACTTGAATGACCGTAGCCGACGTGACGTAGCAAACATCTGCAATCATAAATGTGTGAGGATTAAACATCTTCAATTTAGTCGACGTATACGCATGTGTGTCGGATTCACAAGTTACCGTTAGGAAAAAACTGGTTTGTAATAGGTCCACTACTTCTAATGAAGTTCAAGATCTATCGATAGAGGTTAAATTGAAGCAGCATTCTCCTTATCCTGACCAAATCTTTAGTGGCAGATACTAACATTTAGATACGGAATGAAAAACGTATTTTAAATTAAATTAAGCTACGTAAATATATTGATTTTTTCGTTGCGTTATTTGCTATACGAGGACCTATATCTGCTAATTAATTGTTGTAACTAATTAAGCAATCAATTAGGACATAAGTCAAATTCTTTCGTAAATGGTCTGTTATCTTTTTTGACTGAAATCAATTTAACGGTTATATATAATACAACAGACGGTTAAGACAAGGATAGATAGTCCCTTCTATCTTTTGTTATCTTATCAATACTACCAAATAAAAGAGGTACCTAATCGATGGGCGATATAGATTTTTCAATTTATCTTTTTTTATATAAATAACATCGATCACTAATAAAGAACGTTCTTTATTAGTGATCATATATAGTTATGTGTTGAAATATATTACTGAAACATTCCTCTCGAAATCCTAAATAAAGTGATAAGAAAAATGGAATAAGGAAGTAAAAACTTATCAAAGATATATCAACATAAAAATTCTTATCGAATAACTCATGAATAACGTAAATAATAAACAAAAACTTGTATTAACATAATTAAGTACCCACACGTTACGTTTTATTATTTCTTTCTCTACCTACGAGTTTTTAGCTATGACAAAACAATCACAAACGTCATATTCAAATGACAATTAATGTCAAGAAACAGAAAAGGATGTTGTTTTTCTTTTAAAATAAATAAAATTACTATCAATTACGCAAATATTAGGTTGAACCGAAATATTTAAAATGTCTTCGGAGGTAGTTTTAGTGATAGACTTCAAAAAGGTCTGTCGGGCGTGCTTGCTGGACACTGGACCCATGAAAGACCTGTTCATGGTTTGCACACCTGAAGTTTACAAATTCTGCACTTCTGTTGAGGTATGTTATTCAATGTTTATAACATTATTAACTAACCTTTTACCTAAACTCCGCCCCTAAGACGACCCACTGACCTACTACTCGCTTATACTCGCATTCCTTATTACATGGACTATCCAATCCAAAACAAAATAATTGTCTGATTTTTTTTTTTCAGTTAACTGAAAGTGATGGTCTACCTCGACAGATATGCCAGGCTTGTCTGGATATATTAAATAAGACTTATTATTTCAAACAAACTGCAGTTCGCTCCAACCTTATTTTAAAACAACAATTTTTGGATGAGGTAAAGAGAACAATAATATTATTTATTAAAGTATGAAATAGTTAGGCTTTCTTTATTACTGCCAAATAAATTTCGATTATTTTAATTTAGCTTAACTGAGTAGAAATTAACGGTGAATAAGGGCAGTTTCTCATTGCCACTAAGGACTCTTCGTAGTGAAACAGGTAACTCAACCAGAAATTGTAGTAGAGAACCTTAAACTAAGATGTTGATAATACAATCTAATTCAAATTGAAACTCAGTAGTTTATGTTTATTATTTTTTTATAGTTTTTACAAACGCATTTTAAACATGTTTTATTTCTTTAGCAGGAGCCTGTTAAACTGGAAAGTGACCATAATAACCATAACATCCTAGAGATGAATGTGCCAGAAATAACAGATGACTTGCTCAGTCAGAATGCTCCATCAGAGGATGATATGCCTCCAGATCGTTCCATGGAACCAGCTGAAATTATAAGGTACCAGGAACTCCAGTACTGTTTCAGGCATTGCTCAGCTCCTATTATGTGAACCGTAATGTATTATGACATAGCTTCTAATATTTTCTTCAGTTTCGGTTGTAATAACATGTCTGGGTGGTGCCAAAAATAAATAAGTTCACTCCTCTAAATAAGAAGCTTGGTTGGGCCTTTTTTTGTTTCTCGTCATAGTTTGTTTTGGCAATCAAACACCACATATCTGGTTAGGACTGGCCCTGACAGCAAATAATTTATTCCTTTCACAAAAATGTTGAATTATTTATATGAAAACATAATGTTTCATTACGAATAAACTTATGTTAACATTATTTTACAGGAGAATAAGAAAACGGCGAGAGCTAGAAAAACCAATGAGGAAAAGAACAAGAATGAAATGTCCGAAATGTGAAAAATCATTTCAGAAATATGAAAACTTTGAAGCGCATTTGAGGATACATTTTGGCAAAAAGGTATTTTCTAATAATATTTGTAACTAATGTTGTATAGTTTATATGGTGAAATAACTCAAGTAAACTAAGAAAAGCTTTACTATGTTGTTTCAAGTCGCAAATAGCTACATGCTTATTGTGGACAAACATTAAAAATTGTCTAAAAATTAAACTATTTTTATTTTTATGTGTGTGTTATTTTTTTCTAGCCGGATATTAAATGTGAATACTGTGACAAGACATTTCCAGCAGTCCGTAATCTTCAAAGTCACATACGCACACACACCGGAGTCCGTAAATATCAATGTTTGACATGTGGAAAGAGGTTCGCTTATTTAAATGTTCTGAGGAATCATGAGATGATACATGCAGGTATAAAGAAATATGTCTGCAATATATGTGATGCCAGTTTTGTACAGAATGGTAATTTGAAGGTAAATTTTGAAACATTTTTTATAATAAATAAATAAATTTAATCGTTTAACTTTACAGTTTTGGAAAAATACAACATCTCCAGATTAAAAAACATTTTTAATTAGGATCTTCCTATCTACCAGATATCAAATTATTATACCTGGTCACACTTTCCACTTTAGATGAATGAGGTGGTCATGAACACAGACCTATAAACTAATTTATACTATCAGGGTTTTTTTTTTTTATGTAATAGCTCGGCAAACGAGCGGACGGATTACCTGATGGTAAGCAATCAGCGCCGCCCATGGACACTCGCAACGGAGGAGTTACGAGTGCGTTGCCGACCTTTTAGGGTTTAGGGATTTGGAGATTTAGGGATTGAGGAGGGATTGGGGAAGGGGAAGGATTGGGCCTCCGGTAACCTCACTCACACGGCGAAACACAACGCAGTGGTTATTTCACGCCGGTTTTCTGTGAGGCCGTGGTATCACTCCGGTCGAGCCGACCCATTCGTGCCGAAGCATGGCTCTCCCACACTTCCGGTTTACACGGTTTTACCACAAACAATTAACATTTTTTCAGGCTCATCTAGAAACCCATAACAATCAAAAGAACTTTATTTGTATGCAATGTGGCAAGAAATTTTCACGTCAAGGCAATTTCAAGTCGCATTTAATCAGGCATTCAGGTATCAAGAACTTTGCCTGCCAGATCTGTGATATGAGGTTTTATATTAAGGTATCTATATATTTCTTAATTTACTATCCATTGACTTTCATAGTTTGATGTTACAGCCTTATTCTAGACTTTATTAAAAAAAATCTGTGATGTGTTTGTGTAGATATATTTAACAGTACCTAATCATTTATCAATTACACCCTAATTCCTGGACCCATCATAATTTCAAAATACGGGAAACACAATTGGGTATTTTCCTCCGTAAAAAAGGAATTATTTCAACTTTATAACAATGAAATTTCTAAAAAAATAATCACACTTTCATTAATCAACTTGAAATACATAATATTCGTATTTTTTAACATAGTTTAAGAAAACTAAGTACCTATGCTATTGACTTAAAATTTCAAACAAAATTCATAAAAAAAGGATTGAATTTGACTAATTGGAAACTACCTTATTACTTATTTAGTTGGTTACGTAACAAAATGTTTAAATAATATAATTTGAACACTATTTATTTTTAGGGAGATTTATACAAACATATGCGGTCACATTCGTCGGATAAACCATATGCTTGTGGATATTGTGATAAAAAGTTTAAGACTCAGAGTTTTAAGATAGTACACATGAGAACCCATACAGGTTGGTAAATGAATATTTATACAAACTTCCAGGACTTCATGGAATTATAATTTATCTGGAAAAAGTGCTTATTTGGTTTGCCATTTCAGTGACTAAGTAGATGATCAGTGGTCATTTCAGTGCCTTGGTAAAATGGTTTTTCGGCCCTTGACCTATTATAAAAAAGAACTGAAATTGAAACCTAGCTAGATTGATTTGTCGTCCCCAAAACCGTACAAATACAAAATTTTATCGAAATCGTCGTAACCGTTTCCGAGATCCTTTCAATATATTCTTATAAGCATATTTTACAAGAATTGGGTAGTTTAATAGGTCAAAAATAAATTAATTCGATGTTTTAATACCATAAAATATTGAAAAATAACTATACTTTTATTCATCGATCGATCATTACTCCAAGTTTTAGATTTTTTAGCTAATTATTGTGAAATAAGTAAGCTATTTGACGCAAAAATGTTATGACGTCATAACTCAGTTTTTCATACAAATTTCATAGAAAAGTATCGTTTTTGACGTTTGGATAAAAGTATTGAATTTGACTAGTTGGAAACTACCGTATTGCCCATTTTTGATAAACATCGCGATTCATAACCATAGCTACACATACATATTTTGTTCAAATGATTGTTGTTTTTTCAGGTGAACGACCATTTGCTTGTGATCTGTGTCCAAAACGGTTTATGGCGCGAAAAGAGTTACGGACCCATAGAATGACTCATACGGGCGAGAAACCTCACAAATGTCAGCTGTGTGACCAAGCGTTCATACAAAAAGGCGCTTTAAATCGACACATGAAGGGACATATGCAGAAGGAGGCAGAAAAACCACAGAACATATTGCTTAGGGCAAGGTTACAAGGACCTGTGGCAGAATATTCACAATGGAATACTGATGTTTGACTTTAGTTAAACAGTTACCAAGATGAACCGCAAGTACCTGGATAATTAATAAGAAAATTGTGTAAATATTGAGCAACTATGTTGTTTTATCATATTTATTTGGAAATAAAAAGAAGGTTTTTACATATTCCCTATTTTAATTCTGTTGTAAAAAAATAACACTACTCGGTAGGATTGATCGAGCGAACGATAGATATCCATGTTTTATTTAGAATCTTTAAAAGAAAAATATCGGAATAACTCTAATACTAGTGATTCAAATTTAAACTGAAACAGCTTATTTAGAAGTATTGATGAAGAAAACAAACCTCTTTACTTCAACTCTATTCTTCTCTTTCCTTTTCGTTTCATGTCCCATCGGGACTCTTAATTATGAGCGGATGTGAGTAAGTCTTATAGTTAAATTATTTAACTTTGTATGTCTCTTGACAGTTAAAGTGGGAGAGTCAGACACGAATGAGCTGGACTTACCGCAGAGATACCACGGCCTCACAGACCACCAGCGTGAAACAACCACAGCGTTTTGGGGAAAGGTTTGCCTTTTCCTCTCATTGTCAATTTGCAATCCCTAATTCCCTAAAACCTCTTTTCCCCAAAAGGCTGGCGGCACAATTGTAGTTCGTCTGGTGTTTCGTATCCATCGCATAAAAAATCAGATAATACTGTTACTATGATCATACATAAGGCAATAAGAACAAGAATAAATAAAATTATTTATGTTCATTTGGTATAATTTGTAATAATGTCTCAAATGATGATATCAGTACCTACCTACATGAAATCTATTGAGTATTTACGGTTATTTTTCATTCTTATATTAGCTTATTGTAGGTGCAGGCCTGTCATGAACTTTCATATGTCTCTTCAGAGTCCCTCGTTGCGTGAACCTCTGCTCACAAAGTGTGCACTTGTGCGGCTTATCACCCGTATGTATTCTTACGTGATCAGTCAATCTCTTCTTGGATACAAATGTTTTCTGACAATGGGTACATACATAGGGTCTTTCTCCTGAATGCAATCGCTTATGTTCGACCAGAGTGGAATGTGCTCTAAAGGACTTCATACAGATGTCACACTTGAACAATTTCTTCCCATCGTGTACTAATAAGTGTTTAGCCAAGTTATACTTGTCGTTGAATGGGTACGAACATATCTGGCAAATAAAAGTTCGGCCTAAATGTCTCCTTGCTACGTGTGATAGGAGTATTGTTTTCGTAAAGAACTTCTTGCCACAGTGTTCACACGTGAAACGTCGCTCTCTGTTCTCTTTGTGTGTTTCTAAGTGAGTCTGTAAACAAAATAATCTCTTGTTAATGGCTTTAGGGAGTCGAAAGTCTAAAATAATGTATTCCAACTAAACCACAACCAGGTACTTCTAAATCGTCAAAATTAATAATAGTTGCAGTCTGTTCGTCAGTGAAGGTAGGCGCTCGTTCCAAAGTGTAACTTGAATTCACAATAATAAAAATTATATGATACTAGCTCTTACCCGCGGCGTCACTTCCGTCATTTGATTACCTACCCTACTCTACCTACCCTGGTCTACCTACTCTACTCTACCTCACCTACACTACCTACTCTATCCTATGTCCTTCTCCTGGCTCTAAACTACCTCCCTGCCAATTTTCAGCTAAATTGGTTCAGCCTTCTCGAGTTATAAGTGGAGTAACTAACACGACTTTCTTTTATATAGGTATATATAGATAGAATAGATAATATAAGCACGAAACTCCATCGTTTCAAGTTCGAGATCGCTGAGAGTTATTTATTTGCCATGAAGTTTTGAACAATTCCTTAAGTTTGGCGGTAGAGTGAGAAGTTTAAATACTAATCAGGGGTAAATATGATATTTCAGATCTGTATACGTATATTGGTAAAGGAATAAACGATATTGGTTTCGGGTACGGATATCTTTCGGAAACGTATAAAGTAGCTATCCGATCATTTTAGTTAAGAATCTCCATAGAATCCCTGTTACTAAAGTGCAATTTTGCCTTAGCAGAGATTGAGCCCATTGAAGTAAAATACCAGTCAAGACTTAAGAAGATCACTTACATAACTCATGAGCTACTTACAAAGTTAAATAATTTATTTCAATTAGACCATTATAAATTTACTGAAAATAACGACTTAAGTACATGAATTAACTGAGAAGCCCACCAAGCTGCAAGCAAAAGTCCCATTGGGACTTAAAACTAGTAAGCTTTTCTCAGTTAATTTAGCACCTAATCATTAATTTGTATGTCTAACAATAGTTACTGTTTAAAACATAAACCAATATAGGTATTTTTGAACGTCAAAACATTAATTACCTTTAAAATAGTTGCAGTAGTGAATCCTTTTCCGCAAATGTCACACATAATTAAGTTTCTATCGCCATGTATCTTTTTATGTGATCTCAATGTGTCCCGACTCTTGAATATCTTGCCACAAGTGTTGCACCGCAAGCTCTCCAGGTTTATTTGAGTGTGTGCACTGTCTTGGTGACGTTTTAGCCCACTCCAAGTGATAAATGATTTCTGGCAAGGTGTGCAGTAGATGGATGCCTGTAAGATAAGAAAGAGGTTTTTAAGTGACAGCATACATTAAGGGGTGGGTGATTCTTCACATCAATAAAAAAAAAATTAATAATGTCATTATCCTCAACCGAAAATTAACGAGTCTGCTGATTAAAACACAGATAATTATTTTATTAAATTAAATCTCACCACTGCTTACAAGCAACCGATTAAAAATATTGTATAAAATAAATTACTAAGATGCTTAAAAACCTGGGAGGATAATGACTTGTTAAATAAAGTTAAGGTTTTTTGGAGAATCACCCGGGTAAGAAATGTATCTGTGGATATTTCAACTTTATATTCATTTTCGTCTTGCCCGCTTCAAAGGAAGCCTGTCTTTAACACTACCCCCAACAATAAATGCTTGAATCAATGTAAAAAGGAAAAAAAACATACTTCTGCCATTATTGGTTGTTGTATTAGCTGCGATAATTTAGATCCTTTATCTTTTTTTACCCCTCCTTTTACCTCTTTCTTTATTGATCTAAATACATTGCCTTATTATTATCTAAATGTATACTATACTACTTACAATTTTTCCCTCATGTTCAAGTTTGTGTGCATCAAATCTCTCCTTATAATTAAACTTTTTTTGGCAAATATCACATGTGTAAAGAAATTTCTTCCTTTGTCTCTTTATATTTCTGTGTGCTTTTAATTTCATAGATTTCTTTAATTTATTTCTGGAACAAATAAATAAATAAATAATAGGTCATGAGAGAATCCATAATTACATGTGTGCTTAAGACGTTGGGTTTCATTAATTTGTTGAAATTTATAATAAACAAACTAACCTTTTATGATTTTTGACTTCATTGATTTCTGGGTCATCGTCATAAACATCATCATTTTGAGTCATGTATTCTAGAAAATAAATAAAATAAGTAAAAAATACTAGCAGGTAGATAGCAGATTTGAATGAATCAAATGTGTAGATGAAGCAATTAGCTAGTTCTCAATATAAATGCCATTTTTATGCAGGAGCAAAAACTAAAAGTATTTTAATGAATGCTTTACCATGATCATCATTCTCATTTTCACTTTTAATAACACCATCAATTACTTCAACCTTGATTTTATCAGTCAATGTCTCATTCAATTCATAGTCATCAGTTCTGTCTGTTGCTTGTAAATCTAATTCATATTTAAATGACTTATTAGTCAGAATGTCCAGTAATGCAGCCTGCGATTGTAGGCATGTGCGCTTGAAGTCTGAGTAATTCTTTAGCAGATCAAAACAAGAATTGCACACACCTCTTGGTAATTGTTCATCTTTGGATACCTGTAACATTAGGTGTTAACACTACAGTATGTCTATTAATTAATGCATGTCTCATTAATCTAGGTACTTTTTTTCTGAGAGATTAAACCAGGGTGAAATGGAGTGTCAGATTCTTAACTCAAAACCTCTTCTTTCTTCTACACCAGGCCAGGGTTACCATAAATTAATGCATTTGAACATTTATATAGGTACTATGGCTTTATACCAGTTGCACAGTTTACAAAACAATAATCATACAGTAAAACAGAGTTTGGTATTTAGTAAAGAGTAATTTATTTAAAATAAGACAAGCCACTGAATAATATTACTTACATCTTTACAACACTACCATAGTCAATGTTCTTATGAAGTTATGAGGAATACGAATACTAACTTGAGATAGTCAAGTTATTGTTGTAATAAGTTACTGTGGGATACCAAGTTGTATAATAATGTCTTGTAAGATTGATGTTTCAAAACTTTATTATTCGATTTTCAATTACAGTAAGATTTAAGCAAGTTTCAGTTTATATTTCTTACCTGAACAGAGGTACAAAAGTAATAAGCATCTGGACATACGTTTTCAAATAGGAAATATGTAAAAGATGTTTTTGGAGAAAGACATGCCCGGCAATTATTCATGTAAGAGTCACCGGCCATTACAAAAAGTTGATGCAATTAAATATTATTTAGTAGTAGTAACTTGTGTATTTACTTTCATTTAAAACTTACACAACTAATAAATAAAAAATATTGTTGATAAAAACGCCAAATATCAACAACAACAAACACAATTTAAATGACGTTGACGTCTGACAAGATTGACAATTCGACCGTAACGAAGCGTTTCGGTATCATGATTTTTTGAAACGTACCTAGTTGGTTAAATACAAAATTTGGAAATCAATAACTTTATTTTTCATTTTAAGTAAATTTTAGGAAGCAGAGTCTTAGTTCAAATCTTTGGAATGGAATTAGCATATCATACACTTTGATACGATATTTTGAACTGGTGAGCGAGCGTATTGTCTGAGAACTGATTCTGACCAAATCAGACTATCCCAAAGAGCATAATAAGTAAAGGGGGACTATCTCAAATACCGTTACGCCATCCATAGTCGCTTATATCGAATAAGCGACACTCAAGACAAGCAACATTGCCGGCATTGTGGGCGCGCAAAGTGCAGAACGGGGACTTTTCGAGTCAGTCAGTCAGCCATAGAATAACATTACCTTTCGCCTCACCTGAGTTAAAGTAGTTATTGATAATTTTGCCCCCACAAAAAAGGCAATCAACATTATTACTACATTAGGTCCGCCTGTATACATCGTGCTTGAAGTTCTTTTTAATAAATAAATAATATAACTTGTAGGAAACCTATCATTTTCTCACAGATTATCTGGTATTTTCTATCTATATTAATAGGACTATCTGGTATAACACTATGGCTCCGCTTTATTCCGGTTCGGCTCTGAAGAACAGCAGCATGCTGTTGGCCTGTTTGTTTCCACAAAAAAGTTACAAGTGCTTGCTAAAAACTGTGGAAATTAGAGAATAACGGTCGTCCCGACGACCTCTAATTTAAAATAAATATAAAAAATTGTGAAATAAAAACAAAAAAGGTTAACAAAATATAAAACTTTATTGTAAATGATTTGTAACTTCAATCTCTTTTAAAATCTCCAGACGAGTGTAATACTGTAGCTACTACATACAAATAAGGAATGATTTTCGTCCACCACCTTCTATGAAATAAATATAAAAATATATTTTATTTGATTTGACATTTTATTCTTACACGATAAGACACCTTAACCATTTTAAATGATTTACATTATAAAATATACACCTTTTTAAGTCTCACGTAAGAACACAATTAAATAAGGTCATTCAACGACATAGTTAGACTTTTTACTATTAAAATCTATGGTTTTAGTATCCATTGTTGTAAATTATTTAAGTCTAGTAACACAACATTGTCGCTGGTAATTATATCACACAACAAGATGTTGGAGTGTTTACATCTTTAAAATTTTAATAAGTAAACAATAGAAGCTATAAAAAATAATTATCTAGTTGAATGACCTCAAATAAAAGTGCAATTAAAATTAAATCACATGCTATATCTTAAATCTAGAGAGCTCCCATATATTTAAGTTGTTTTATCACAGTTTCCCCTGCATGAATGGCTTGAGGTACTTGTGGAAGCTCTGGTTGACTGGCTCCGCGTTCAGAGGACTCTTCAGCGCTTCCTCCATCAGGCGTTCGTATACGCGACCGTCGTACGCGCCCAGGGCGGAGTGCAGGATCTGAAAAAACATTTTATTTATAAAATAGTTCAGTAGGAGCTGAGAGCAGTCAGAAAAAAAATAAAACTTTACTTTTTGAAACGAAAAAGAACACTATCACCCGGTTTCTGAAAGGCTTGTCAACGTTAAAATTAACTAATCTCCTGTTAAATTTCTTGTCAAGTCATGTGATTGGTTGTTGATAATTCAGTCTACCAATCAGATGACTTGACAAGAGATTAAATTGATTTTAACATTGATCGGTCTTTCGGAAACCGACAGTGAGTCACTGAAACACGAGAAGGAAGACCTAGACCTGGGTAAAAGTAAATTATACAGTTTTCGAAATTGTTTTAAAATGGTACACCCTATATTTTTAAGCTTTTGTATAAAGTACTAGCTTCAGCCTGCGTGATATGTTAATAAAAACCTATTGAAATACCAAATTCCAACCAAATCGGCTCAGCCGTTTTTAAGTGAAATATTAACAAACATACATCGATACTGTATTCTCACAAACTTTCACATTTATAATATTAGTAAGATAGGTACGTACCTCATCCCGAAGGTCGAAAGCATCGACGAGACCGACTGCGTTGGGTCGCAGCTTGGTCAGTAGCTCCTCATACCAATGTTGGAGCTTCTCAATGTCTCGCTCCGAAATTGATGTAAACTGCCGAAAGGATAGAATCACATTAGGAAATTGCTAGAAAATAATGTTTTTTTTTTCTTAATTGAACATGTAGAGTAATAGGGATGATGACTTATTTGAAAACCCCCACATATCAAATTTCAGCGAAATCGTTAGGGCAGTTTCCGAGATCGCATGCTTTTTCAAGCAATCAGCTTCATCTGCCGGAGTAATTTGTGAATCTAAGCCATCCAGGGCGCCACTTGCATACCACGCATACAGGAATATTCATTTAAATCGGTCAAGTCGTTTAGGAGGAGTTCCATGACATACACACACACGTACAGCTGAATTATACATATACATAGATGATAATTATAAAAAATCCATTACTTATTTTTTCTTTTAAACATGTCTACGATACATTCATTTGAAATATAGTGTGTGGTCACAACTCAGTACATTTTATACTAAGCGGTATTGATGTTGCGAACACTACACAACGACTTCTAAATTGATATCTAAGTGATGTTTTCTATAAGGGCAAAATAAAAAAATTGTGGCTAATATTTATTTTTTGTAATCTGAATGGCGGGCTAATTATATATATTTTGTTTGTCATAATTTGTACCATCCCTATGATTTAAATTCACTAGGGACCATGAACAGTGGAATGTTTACTGCTAAACAATATTTACTTCAATGTATGGTATAGTATTTTCGCAGCCTAGGCCCCCAGTTATACAAAACCGTAAAATTTAATCAATTTAACCTTTCAATCGTGGTAATTCGAGACACAATTGAAGAACAAGTTTGAAGAATTAATGTTGTTTTCTATAACTGAAAGCCTATTTAAGAGTAGTAGTTAGAGAAAATGTAAAAAGAGTTTGCATAATCTTTTTGTCCAGTCTTCATCTGAATTATTTTCTGCACATAATAAAAAAAAAACTCTAATATCTTACCCTGAGCAAGTCCCCGATCCTCTGCAGCGCCCAGTAGACCACGTATAGGTCTACTAGCTGCAGTAATACCTCGCGCAGTTGTGGCGAGACTCCCTTCACTTGGCGCTCAGTCTCCTCGAAGTACGAGGATAGGATGAACGCGCGGCAATGCGACTGGGTACCATAAAGTATACATTATAGCTTTTAAATTTCACACAAATAGGTTCAGTAGTTTAGGCGTGAAGAAAAGACAGACAGACAGAGTTAATTTAAAAAAAAAGTAGCATGTCACGTCATCATCAGCCTATAAGTGCCTTCTGCTGAGTAAAGGCATCTTCTCACATGGAGAAGGTATAAGAATTAACCGCCACGCTTGCTCAAGGCGGATTTGCGATTTCAAACAATGTTTTCCTTCACCGTATGTCAGTGGTGTCTAAATAATCTTAGAAAGTACATATAACTCGGAAAAAGTCACATTGCTTCTTCATGCATGAGAAAAGCGCGTAACACAAGCATAAAATGTAATAATAGAATTTGTTCACATGTTTAATTAGCGGCCCGCCTGTTTCCTAGTTTAGCACGAGTGTACCTAGGTTATTTATTTCATAAGCGAACGGTTTCTTACTTTTTTATATTTCCGTATACTTTACCTCGGAGGCCTGAGTTAGTTGCACAGAGGTCATGTTCCACGCATCTTCATAGGACATGCCGTTCTTCTGGCGTTTCTCGATGTTCGCCACGCACAATGCGATCTTACTGCAATGATAATAACAATCATATTTCAATTCATTAACACTTTCTATATTAATAAATTAATATCCTGATTAAGTTTTAATTGTGGAAAAGCCACGCTTCGAATGGAATAGGTCGGTTCTTACAGCGTTGTCCAATCCTGCCCCTCCCTAATCTCTAAACCTCCAAAACCGCAATCCCAAAAGGTTGGCAACGCATTCATAACCACTTCATTTAGTCCATGGGCGGCGCTGATTGCTTGTCATCAGGTAATCTGCCTAGAGATTTGCCGTCCCATTTCATAAAAAAACCGATTCCTGTGAAATGTTTATTTATACTCACTAAGACTATAGACTTGATTAAAATAGTAGCTAAAATGCCTTTGTTTGTCAGGGAAAATTCATCAAATGGCTTCTCCCGCCCAGGTGAAGGCGAGAGAGAGAATGTCAGACTCTTACTGACTAAAAACCCCCCGTTCCTTCTCCTGCTCTGGGCCGAGGCCGCGGTGTCTCATTGCGCTTGCCCCTCAACGTCGGCTGAAAGCTAAAATGCCTAATACACATAATTGGTTAACTTACCCCGCTGCAACGAGCTGGAATCCGTGAATGATGCCTTCGATGGAGTTGTCCCACGGTGGGACCCGGCGGCCCGCGCCCACTCGGCTTAAGTACGCGACGGTGGGAGGCAGGGAATTACCGCCCTGTGCCTGTTGCCAGGCCTTTACCAAGTACCTGGATCAAATAATCACCTTATAATACAATTTTCTGTGTAAGTAATTTTGCTGTTTGTTACTGTCTTATGCTAACTTGCCCCAAAGAAGAATCTGAGAAAGGCCTTGAGTGACTTTTTTGTTAACCATGGAAGACCCGCCGTGTCTACCAAGAGTTATTGTCACTTCCTCTGACAGAGTAATCCATCTTCCTACGATCATTTTTGTTGTACACAAAATTGGAACCTCCTTGAAAGGACGACCCGTATATGCTTGGTGGAATTGGCGGGACTATCGGTTTTGGAGGATGCATAATGTGCAATGCTTCTCGAACTCTCCCGAATTAAACATTTTTCTTATTGTTTTTTGAATTGCCATGAGATGTATAAAACATAATTTTAAGGGTATCCATTAATTACCGGACACCCTGTATATAACATTTTTTATTATAATTACGGAGCAAAAACTATTGTTTCTCGTTTGCTTGT